CCAACGTGCCTGGAAGGTTGGCAGGATGGCACAAAAGTCCTGACGAGTGCCCCCTCGAGCGTCTCAGTGGCAGGCTGGCGCCGATGCTGCGGAAGCCCTCAAGGAATGCGTCCGGAGGTGCAGTGCATAGAGAAAGCAAGGCCAAGCTGGGAAAGTGGATTTAACATTCAAATCGAAAGGCTGGACAGTGCCACAGCTGCAACGGAATCGGCGAAACTTGTTGGCCTTTGATGGCCCAACGAAACTCCGCAGGGGGGAGGAGCTCGACGTGCAGTCCGCAGCCCTGCTGAGTGCGGCTGCGGGCAAGAGTGCCAATCAGCCCGCGTTGCAGCAGGGAGACCCAAATTCAGAAGGGTCAACCACATGGGTGAGAAGTCGCAGAGTTATTTGGGTTTTTGCTGTATCATGTTTATTTGTTTTCTTGAGTTCAGGTCAATGCTGATTTGTATGGCTCAGGACATACCAGGAAAATGAATGTTCTGTAAAAATCGAACTTTCTTTAAGGCTGTTGCATGGATGGTTGAGTTAGGAGGATGTGGATGCGAGATCGCCGAGGCTGGCGCTGAAGCGCCTTGCAGAGCCCGAGAGGAAGGTGGCCGAAGATCAGCTGAAGCTGAAGTCAGGCGAGAGATGTCAAAGCCGAAGCTGGCAATAGGAAGTAGTACAAATGGGCGTCACCTCGTTGCATCGCCACGTTGCGGATTTCAGACAAGTGAAGACTGGTTCTTGGTGGAAAGGTCATCTCAAACACAGGGCTTGCACCACGCTTCCCCTTACGGACCTCGCAACAACTGAACTGAGTGACTGCCCACAAAGACTGTTGCCCGAAGAGGGGAGGAGAGGGTATTTGGCATGCCAAAAGCGCCAGAGAGATGGCCCAGCCTGGTGAGTTGGCGCAGATGCGAAATGCACATGGCCCTTCAAGAGATTCAGAGTGCGATCTCAAGCACACGCAGCACCCCTAGCACCGAAAAGCACCCAAAAGCATCCAAAAGCCATACCCCCGACAAAGCGAAGCGGCGGATGCTGGGGTTCTGGGACAGGCGTCATGAGCAAGGAGGCGCTCCTCGAAGCCCTGGAGGAAGCGTTGTGTCGAAGCTTTGGAGGTCTCAGGCGTCTTAGGTGGAAAGCAGCGCAGTCTATGCGTTGTTAAGCAGTTCATGAATGAATCGGATCTAATGAACGGCTATCAATTTCAATCCAACGAAGGTTCACCAGTCCGAAGTCAGATCCCATAATGGAAATATGTCCGAATATGTCGGTGCGTTTTCCTAGTGACACGATGTGACACCTGGTCAGGGTGAGGCTGCCACGGAGGCACCGGACTCGCCTTCGCCACGAGCGCAGGCAGGAGTTGCTTATCGATTCGACGCAGGCGTGACGTTCATAAAGCAATTAGCTGTGAACCGGTTAATGGCCCGGGTTCTTTTCGTACGGGATTTGTCGCAGAAGTCAGGCGTTCGAAGCTGTGCCTCGAGGAGAGCTGTACGAAACTCGCCTGAAGGGGATGCTGCAGGGTCAGGCTGGAAGACGGTTGGCCAAAGTTGAGTGGAAACAGATGCAAATGGCCTGCAGCAAGAGCAAGTGTTTGGGGACGGAGACGATCTGGAGCTCCATGGTTTTGGGCTTGATCAGGGCTCAAACGACTCGAGCATGGACAACAACAAAGATGTGCACAGAAATTGTCTTGAAATAGATGCACGACCCGAAGGGCTTGGACGGAATCTCAGAACTGGTTGGGAAGCGAACCATTGCGGGCCCAGGAGGTGGTCTACCAAGCGGTATGGATCCGCAATGCGCCTGATGGGAAGGGCCAGCAGATCACAAAGCGTCACCTGGCCAGCAACAAGACCCACGAGCAGGGGAAAAGGCCAAACTCTGCGCAGAGTCAACGCATCGTGTGAAGGTCTGAGGTGGAGAGAGCCAGTGCATGTCATTGTTTCAGTTCCGTGCGTGAAAGGAAAAAGTCTTAGATCATGCTCTGAGCATTGCAGCTTGCTGAGTACAACTTGTTGCGCGTTTCTGGGCGGGGGGGTGGCTGACTTGGCTAAGGCATGTGCAAGGACCGTTTCCGAATCCTGGGCTTCGATGAGTCTGGGAACTGGGGCAAGCTGAAGGCACAGCCTGTCGTGGATTCAAAATCTCAGACTTGATGACTATTACATGAGTAGGCATTGCTGTTTTTTGTACAGGCAAGTGCTGCTTGGTGAGTACTTTTTGTGTAGGTATGCAAGTGCTGTTATGTGCTGTGAGTGTCGGACATTTTTAGACTTGCCTGTCAACGAGAGGTGTTGCTGCGGGAGGGCGAAGCGGTCGGCTGGGTCATGCTGCAGCACCCGGACTTGGGTGAGCTCATCAGGAGGGGTGTTTGGTGGCAACAAATTCAGAGCCCCAAGCAGCTCAATTTGTTTCAGTTGCAGAGCTTGTGCAGGAAGTGCGCTGACAACGACGAGCGCGGCGGTTTGCTTAAGCCGGAGGAGCTGTGATTTTCTCAAGGAACGAGGCCACAAAAGCTGCCGCGCTGGCTCGAAGCCGCACTGGCTCGAAGCTGCACAGGGCGATGCAGAACTGGCCTTGAAGCCGATGCTCGCATTGACTTCACTTGGGCAGTTCGGCCAAGTTTCCCATTGACAGTTTCAAGCGAAAAAGAGTGCTCGCTGCCGCGCGACCATCCCGAGCCATCGGCAGAGACACGACAACACTTGAGCGTTTGCAAATTCAGCGTTAGCCATTGCAGGGAGACGATGTGCGAGTTCTCCGATCGAAATATGGAGGATTTTGCCACAGGCTGGATTGATTCATCATTTACAGATGGATTGCAGAGATCAAAGTTGTCACATTGGCGGCAGTTTTGCGCTTTGCACCAACTGGAGCTAAAATATGCTGCCACTTCAGTTGATGGCAATGGGTTGATCAGTTTGAGAAGACACACTTCATGTCAAGGCATTGAGAGCGGCACGCCATCACACCAAGTCGCTGTTGTGGCAGCTCACAAGCCTGAGTCGACAGGCCACATTGATGCCTCCAAGCCTGTGAATGAGCGTGAGCCCTATCCGACCCTATCCAGTGCTTCAAGCGAGCGAAAGAAGCGGCAGCTCAGATTTATCAGATGCAGTCCTGAAACATGGTTCGGCTCGTTTTGTTTTGATCAGCTGGTTCGCTGCCGCAAGCCGAAGGGAGCCATTGGGTTTCAGGTGGATGCTGGACAAGCTGGCAGAGAACATCAAGGCTGTTGCAAAGTGCCGTTGGCAAGGGGTTTGGGTATGTCCCTTAGCTGGACAACCCATTCTACAGTGTTATTTGGTTCCCCTTCAGCCATCAACAAGGGTGTCCCCCGAACAAGGTTGCCCCGATTTGAAGAAAAGCAGACATTTTGGATGCGGAAAGCGAAAGCTTCCTTTTGACGAGTCTGTCAACTTCACGATTGTTGCTTGCTTGGCATCCTGGATTTAATGACATGGAAGGCCTAAGAAATTGCGGAAGGCAACTGAGCAGAATTGCAGGGTGGCGCTCAGGTCTATTGTTCCCTCTTCGACCACATTACGCCCTGGCCCAATGTTGCAAGCAGGAACTTGCCACAGTTGTCTGATAGAACAGGGGATGGCAAGACAAGCATTATACATGCGGGCCATTGTGCTAATGTTTGCCACAGGGAAGTCGAGAATCCCAGCCGCTTCGGCTCAAGCATGTCTTGAAAGACTTGACCGTGAGCATCAAGACACAGGAATAGCTCAAGTAGATCACTCGCGCTGGGGGCATGGCTACGCAAACCATGACCATGCTTTGGCCTTGGATTCCTGCAACGCCTCGGCCTTGAAAAGTTTCAGAGTGTTCAAGAAAAGGCACACTATTCTGGATGATCCATTTGTTGTTGCCAACAGCTTACCGGCATTGGCTGGAGTGACTGAGAAACTCGTCCGACACTGGGTTGAGAAGTGGCAAAAGCTTGTGTTAGAGATGGCAACGGTTGCTCGTTTGGGATTGAGGACGCTGCCTCGCACAATTACTGCTCCACCACCTTCCCATCACAGGCCAGGCTCATGTAAAGTCGCAATGATTGTAGCATGCTTGGGTCAAGATGGTCAAGCTGGCGCATCGTGCACGGGGACGTGGTTGGGTCAAGCGGCTCAATGGCTGCCAAAGGACCTTCCTGTTTCAGCCGGTCCGCTCGATGAGTGCTGGCAGGGCACTTACCGTAGATGTTACATGTGTCCTGCTATATCTCCAAGCGAGTCTCAGAAAATCAACCCCAAAAAGGTCCAGAAAGCTGATTCTCAAAGGCTGCACGGCCACCACGCACTCGCTGGGCTGAAAGAGAGCGACCACCTTGACCCCTGACTGCAGCACACCTTGCCCTCAACTGCACCAGGCATTCAGATCCAACGCAAGGAGACAGTGCAGGCACAGGCACTGGGAGCCAAATCCCAGGGTGCAAGGAATGCTATAGATGGAGGAGCAGGTAGACAGTAAGCGGGAGGCGTTCAGAAAATGAAAGGATCCTCGCTACGAGCCCGGCCTTTGCCCCTCTGCCTCGTTTTGGTTGGCAGGTGCATGCACCGCTTGAAGCAGAGAACAAGGAGCAGGTGACAGGCTGGGCAGTGCTTGCAAATCAGGTGTGCCTTCTGCAGGGAAGATTCTCAACACAGCCTACGAACCCAAGATTCCGAGGCAGTCAAAAGGCTCAAAAGGCTCAAATTGGCAAATTCTCTTTGGGTCCTCTCCGCGTGGTGGTGCAAGCTGCCGCAGGCCTCACTGCCTGGCTGGGCCGTGTCGGATTGCTGCCGCTCAAGGCAAGCATCGAGGCATGGGCCCAGGCGCGCTTCGACTTTGCAACGCTGACTAAACTTGACTAAACCACATCACCACATCCACCCCCTTTTGGAAGACGGCGGTTGCGGAGTCCAAGCAGATGCTTTCAGAAAGCTTGAAGGCTCCGAATTGGCTTCGCCAGGATGAAGGTGCCGCCTTCGTGGAGGAGGTGCTGTCGCCACTCGCAGATCTGCGAAGGGGTCGAATGCGCGTGTTTGAGGCATCTCTGAAGCCCGGATGGTTTGTTATCTCGGCATAGAGTTCCTTCCGGTCTGCCGGGAAGCGGGTGGCAACGGTTGATGTCGAGACCGCATTGGCCAATCATTGGTCCATGGGATTCAATGTCTCTTGTGGACATTTGGGCACCAACCTTGCGGACCAGTCATATCTGATATCCTTCGAACAGAATGCGTCATCAGTGACACGAGCTAAGGAATGCTCCCGCACTTGCGCAGGCACTGCAACTCACTGGAGCGACTCAGATTGAGCAAACTGTCTCCGCCCCTTTCAAACAGTCTCACAGCTTGGGGCTTTGTGATGGAAGCAGCGATTTGATGGTAATTCAGAGTCGCAGAAGGGGCGCTGATAGAGCGGACACCACTCCAGCTTGCGGTACTCATTCCCTCATTTATTGACGTTCTGTATCCGAGTCACCCGAGTCACCCTCCCAGATTTGCAATCGGCTTCTTATTTGGCGGTCCCAGCCTGTTTGCCCTTGTTTCATTCCAACTGGCTGCTACACCCTCCAGAAAGCAGGGAAGGTTTTGCTTGAAGCGGGGCGGGAAGAAGGAAGTGATCGCTCCACGCTTCCCAGCCAGAGCAGCTCGCCCAAGGACGAGAGCGATCGCTTTGTGGCGCGGCTCAGGGGACAGCCACCGCCCCAGCCAGCTCCTCCCCGACCGACGCAGGCCGCTGCGTGATGTATCGAGTCGGTCCTCCACTTTCAACACTGTGCTTTGCTGTTTTCTCGAATGCTTCCCGCTAAATTGGTCTGGGGGTCAGCGGAATGCGTAGCAGGGTAGATAGACAGGTCAACAGGCAGGGCAATGGCCAGGCAGCGGCACACAATAGCTTTGGGCAAAAAGCTTGCATTTGGGCTGCGTGCTCACGTCTACCAGGTTTAGGCATTGAAGTCAGAAAGCTTGGGGCTAGCCGCTGGCAACCCTTGCCCTCGAGCCATCCTGTTGGCCATCAGCTTGGCAGGTGAAGGTCCTGAAGAAAGAGAAGATCCTCCCGGTGCACGCGTCGCCCTGCCCCTGCTGCGGCAAGCCTGAGCGGCTGCTTTGGGACGCAGCTCGGCAAAGCTCGAGAGTGGGCGCGGATGCTAAATCCGAGGGGCACCTTGCGACACCTTGCCACATCTTGCACCAGCTGAGGTGACCATTGCCTCCCAGCACGAGGGCTGGGGCCGGAAGTGGAATGCCGCCCAGCTATCGAAGGGCCAACCCGCTCAGGCAAGTTCTGTGGGTCGGCTCTTTGTTGGGTTCTACGACCGGGATCGTTTGGAGCCCGAGACAAAGTGATTGCCCCCTCCAAGCAAATCTTTTGCTGTGGCCCGGTCAGCTGATATGGCACTCGCAGCTGGCCGGATAAGAACAGATGTAGACATGCCCAAAATCGAACCCGTGCCCATTGGAGGCCGGGAGAGCAGGGTCCCAATCGCGTTTGTTTTTGCACATGTCGCGTTGTATTAGTGTTCTGTGTTAAGATGGGGAAGTGTCATCAGCGGCAACACACGAAATAGAAGAAGAGCAAAGGCTTCAGGGGTATGTCACATCCAGGTGCACCCTCCATCCCTCCTCCGTTCTATCAAGGTTGTCCGAACCCACAAAGGCAGACAGACCAAGTCAAGATGTCAAATATCAGCACCGGATCAGAGCCACGGGGTTTGGAGCAGTGATAGGCTGATAGGCGTTTGCCAGGAATGCATTAAATACAAGCAAGATGGAAATCAAGAGCACACCAAGATATGGTTGATTTCGATGTAGTCCAAAGGACAAACAACAACATACTACAAGAGCTAGACACATGACACATGCTAGGACGATGCAGGGATGTACTTGAAACAAGCTCAACATGTACAGTCATGACAGAGTAGCAAAAGAGCAATACCACGGCGGCCAAGCCTCAAAACATGATGACTTTGTAATCCCTCTGCATGGGTCTGGTACCGTGGATAGAGACCGATATCAAACCTGGTGTGAATCCGCTGCGGCAGCAACATCACCCACACAAATGATTGAATACATGCTTGTGCAGGAGTGTTTGTCGCAACCAACTTGCCCTCGAGCCAATGTCATGCGCTGCGCATCAGACTGCTTTGTGGAGTTACTCAAAGGCATCCTGCCAAGTGACCCTTGAAAGACGAAGCAGACGAGGGTCACGACAGCAAGAGATTTGCAGAATTTGTTGGCATGCGCGGAACAAGGATATGGGTTTTCATCCGGTGGACTATGTTGCCAGAAAGTCAGCCCAGGAATGCAGATATGCCTGCCCTCTATGCCGTCGTCACATCTCCCGTACGTTGCCTGTGACGCTCAGCTCATGGCTGAAGTCAGCAACACGGTCAAGATGATTGCTTTGTTGCTTGAATGTTGCGTAGACAATGTTCCACTATCGTGTTGCAAGTGGTGGAATCTGTTGTAAGGGTGCAAGGGCGTTCGCACCAAATGCCAACTGGCCCAGGAATGCTTGCAGAGACTGCAAAGTGATGTGGCACTCAGACTGCAACAAGGCTGGATGGGGCGCGATTGCGCACTTGCTGTACTGGATCCTTCGCAGCGGCCGCAACCCGCAGGCTCTTCAAATCGACATTGAGGCTCGGAGTCTGTTGGAATACGCGCCCGATGCTTAAACCCAAGTGCCAGGCGAAGAAGCCCAACCTAGGCCAGCTGCATCTTTACGGAGCCGTTATGAAGGCTGGCAATACGCAATTGCAGAGAAAGTTGTGGGACGGTGACAAGTCTTCACGCGAGGCTTTGGTTATGTTGGATGTGCTTAGAGAAATGGACTTAGCATTTCTAGTCTGAGTCAATCGCTTGCGAGGTGACGAAGAGGCGTCAGGGGCCTTCACCCCCCGTGGCCACGCAGGCGTCCGTCACCCGGCGACATTTGAACAGATATGAACAGAATTGAACAGATATGAAGAGATGTATCCCACTTTGGGCATGTCGCAAATGGGTCAGGCCAAGGGGAGCTGGGATCCGACAGGCTGCATCCATTCAGCATGAGAAACTGAACGTTGCTTGCGAGAGAGGTTTGATCAAGCCGAATCAAATCTCAACATCTCAGCACAGGGAATCTGTACTTCTCAAGCCTGAAATCGGGTAGCTGCCATGTTTTACCATGCATTCGTAAACTGGTTCGCTTGTCTTCTCATTTCGCCGTGGCGTTAAGCCCTCTTTGCGTTGCGCCAGGCGCCGACGCCTAGGCTGCTGCGAACCATCACGGCCGCGCCCGTGGTGGTGGCTGCACCAGGCCAAGCATCAATCCATGTCAGCGAATGTCAAAGACGCCAATGGGAAACCATTTCAATGCGAGGCAAAGCATCAGAAATCATCAGAACCAGCATGAGACTTGGGAAATAACTTTGGGCAAATGAGCAGATCGAAGGGTCCCTGGCGCTTCGGTGTGCGAAGTCTCCCCAACGTTCTGTGTCGGGCGCGGGAGGTGGTTGCCTGGATCGAACAAGAACAAGTCCTCAGACTCCACAGGAGCTCCTTGGTATTGATGTCTGCGGTGCTCGCAAAATGCCTCAGGGAACCATCTGGCAATATCATGGACATGGACGGCAAATTACTTTTTGCACTTGGAATTGCTTAGTTAGCTTAGTTGTGTGGAAGGCAAGAGTCACAGGTGGGCATGGCGGAAATGCGAGCAAAGCCATTTCCCAGGTACCTTATACGCCCCCACCTTGGATGCTTAGAGCATCGAGCTTGCCAAGGATTCAAGCAGCGGCCGCTCGCGCTGCCAAGGCGTATGTGCCGTTGAAGGCAGGACCATTTCTCAGAGCGAATCCTGGCAGCCAAGGTAGTTGATCAGGTGCTTCCAGTTGGTTGTGAAACGGTGCAATCATCAGTCGCCAGAACCGGATCGTGGCCCGTTGTCGTTCACCATTACCAGCACTCACTTGCAAATGCAAAAGAGAAGTGGAAATCCTTTAAGATACCGAGCTTCGGCTGGTGTGAATGTGTGGTTATGTGTGGTTTAATGGCGGAGTCTCCGTGAGTTGTGTAGGCCTGGAACTTTGCAGCAATGCCACTCAAGCAGAAGGTGCGCCAAAGTCCGAGCCGTGGCGCAATAGTGTTGGGACGTGAGCTACTCTCGCCGGCTAATTGGTCTCAACGCGACGGATGCTTGCGCAAGCGTGTGGTGTTTCGCATTCACACGTGCACTTAAGGAGAGATGCACCCTTGAGCCGAGACGAGGCGAGGGTGAAATTTGAGTTCTTGAGAGATGCAACTGGAGCTCAGAACTCACAAGATGTCGGCCCGGGTCATAGTAGTCACGTGTCTCGTTTGACAATTTGAGCGCAGGTGCTGATTGAGGAGACTGACGCACTGCCTGGTCAGATGGACCGCCGTATCATTCTCGAACGACAGCACAGGCGGGCGAAGCCAAGTCGCGCAGTAGGCATGTCGCACCAGTCTCAAGTGACTCAAGCGGCAGGTCGCTGTGCTTGCAGGTCGTGCACGTTTGAGGGGACAAAATTTGCCCAGGCTAGCCTTTCGAGCCAAAAGTTGAAATAGAAGACAATCAGCCAGATGTGGGTTTTAGCATGCATACAAGTAAAAAAAGTGAAGCCAAACCATGCGGCCTGGAAAGATGCGCCAGGCTTAACTTGACTGCCAAAATGCAGAACAACACTAAGATTGAAATGTGTTTTGTGTGTTGCTAGTTGTGAGTTGCGCCCAAATCAGAAGCATTAGATCCAAGCACCTTGTAGTTTGCACTCGCAAATGGCCCTCAATGGCATGTTCAGTGTGGCAGGCTAAGGGACGAGCGTCGCGAGAGAGCGGACCAGGCGGGCCGCGGGCGTTGGTGAAATTCTCTCAGAAGTTGCAGCTGAGTGAATTGCAAGATTCGATTGACCCCTTCGCAGCGTTATTCTAAGTCTGCCCTGAGCCCACGCTAAACTACCTGAAATCAAGCCCAAATCAAGACATTGGCCCACTCCCTAAACGCACATTAATGTCAACAATGACAAGTCCAAGTCAAATCACTTCTCACTAACCCCATCCCAAACCACCCCAAAGCCCACCAAAAATAACAGCCCAGTATCTACTGGATTTCATTTTTTCAGGGTACTACCCGGGAAAAAAGAAATCCACCCCAACCACGCCGTCAGCCCACCCTAAGCCAACCCAGAACGCACCTTGCCCCTTTTGCGCCATCATTGTGGATTGCTGGATGGTTGCTGTTTTGGATTTCCTTGCGCTGGTAGCACGATAGTTGGAAAAGCTCAACGAAGCTGTGGCCACATTTGATGGGCAATGTGCAGGAGTTGCTCAGACAACGTATCCCCAGGGATGAGGAGCTGGTGCATCCTTTTCAGAAGGAGATGGACGAGGAGAGACATGAAGTGAGATACTGCTCTTTTGCGGACACCTGTTGTTCTCCCATGTTCTCCCTCAGGATGATGGTATGCATGCAACAGTATGCGGACCCATTCCTTAGGGCAAGAGGCAAAGATCTGCCAGATTGTTGGGAGAAGAATCCTCGGCTCGAGGAGCGCTTGAAGGCGCAAAGTGAAAATGCTGGCCTCTTTGCGTGGGTGCACCAAGCAAATCCCACATGTCAAAGACGGATCTTGAAGGAAGATATAGGGCAAGACGAGTCCACAGGATTTTTCTCTAGCATGGTCAGCTTTTGGACCACAGCCCCTGTAATCAGCCGTGTTGAAGACTCACGTAGCCTCAAGGGCTGAGTTAAGAGATGTGATGGAGCAGACGAGCTATTGTACCATATTATGGACACGTATACTTCATGCGGAGTGCAATCGTGAGTATGCCTACTTGATCTGGGTGAGTATTCTCCAACGGCATTTGCAGGAAAGGGAGGAGAGGAAGGTGAACCATGTTGACATCTCGAAGAAAGGCTTCTCAGGCGTCCAGGAGGACTTGATGAGGAGCCTTTCATGCACTCAGCTAGTGCCGAGGCGCCTGAGCAGCCCGACTGTGATGTGTTCGCGAGCAAAGCTAGTCACCACTGATGTGCTTAGCCACTGCATAGCCAAGGGTGCACGGCGAGACCATCAAGGCATCCTTGCTGGATTGGGTGGGGAGGATCAAAGCACGGTTCCATTGCATCGAACATCCGCAATCCACATGCCCATGCCGCCAGGATAGCCTGGGCCGCGTCTTTGACGGGAAGCTGAAAATGGAGAGAGCCCAGGCTAGCACAAGTAGATCTGTTTTCGGAAACAAGCTTGGTCTTCTCAGATTTGATGCTCCGGTTTGTGCCCCGGTTTTGGCCCAGACTGCGAAACAGACCATGTTGAAATTGCAAGTGCCACCCCAGTCCCGTTTCTGGGGTGCTTCCGAGATGGTAGATTCCAGCACTGGAATGAGGGCTTCCACGAGCAAAAGCATCATAGCCAAGTTACTTCGGGATCCATCGAAGTAATTGTATGATGATGTACTGCACTTCACGCAGTTGGACAATCCATCAACTCTGTGACAGCGCGTGCAGGAAGCCAATTCGTACAAAAACACGTTGTCCCTTGTCCAAAAAGACCTGCCACGTAAACGGCAAATCGTGCGAAGAGGCCTTGTCAGCTTGTTGGGCAGCAAACGGGCCAGACTTGGTAGCTAAACAAAACCAATAACAAACGATAACATTTCGCACATAATTTGTGTTTAGCTGCGAGAGTGTCTCTTCGCACAAACGCTTGTGCTGCAAAGTGTACTGTGTGCTGAACAGTTGCGATTTTCGAGATGGAGCTCCAACGTGTACTTTGTGTACTGCACTTGGACTGAAAAGTGGCAGTTGTCCAGTTGGAGCTGCCAAAGTGTATTTCGAGGTTGAGAGCGCAGAAAGCACAAAACGCTGCAAAACGATAACTTCAAAGTAGAGACTCTAGAATCAGCGAGATGTTCATACTCAATTGAAGTCCAGGATGTAGCTATTGTCTTGACAGTGGTTCCAACGCACTGAAAGAGCTACCATTGGGGAAGCCTTCAGTTTGACGAGCCCAAAGGATTGGTGATTGTTCCTGGGCAGTGACCTGCTTTGACGTTGAGCTCCGCAATGCGCTCATTCCGCTTTGTCGGAACTGACCCTACCCCAGCAGAAGGTGTCTTAATTTGGGAACCCCCTGTCGGCTGGCACTAAAAAGAAAGGAAAAGGAGAAAGTGCTTGCACTAAAGACAAAGAGAAGACTATATATGCAGTTTTGAAATGTGTGTGTATGTTCTTCACAGGCTCAAAAGCATCATGGCGACCTCTTGAATTGAAGCCGAGCACACCCTGACTGCGTCAGGTCTCACGGCCTGTGCAGGACCGCTTCATGAGCGTGCCTTGATCGAAGAGTGCGTTTGGGGTGACAGATTGATCGCATCTTTGCAGATAAGCATCGTCTGAAGGCGCTACATCGGATCTTTGAAATACCAGACCAGAGAGAACAAAAGATTGCAGGAACAGAGAGAACATATACGAATAGTGTGTTTGCAAAGACGAAAGTAGTCTGACTC